GGTCAAAAGGGGCCACTCATCTCTCCATAAGAATGTCGTAATTATCACTGCTGGGATGAATGGGATGTGACCTCTGTGACCTCTGCAGTGCCTTGTGACTGGAGTTCAAAAAGGAGGAGAGGATATAAAGACCGCAAAGCACATTAATGGATGTTCTCCTAAATATCCTCAGCGGCGTTTACATTTAAATAAAGGTCAAAATGAATAATCAAGGTCATCTCTGTAGCAATATCCTTTACTGCGGTGTGCAAGCTCATGTGAGGGTTTTTTATTTGGTCATGAAACTGACTACTGCTACAAAAGCAAACAAGACCATCAAGAAGAAGAGCCATCATTTCTATAGATTTATTATTAATGGCTGCCAGGTAGGTGTCAGACTTACACATGTACTGCTTTGTCCACATGGGACAATCAGAGGGTTCCTCACAGGAGCTTTAAAGCTGTACACTAATCTATTTTGGTCACTGGGGGGCAGCAAAACAAGCCTAAAACACAACACTTTTAGATCATAATCTTAAGGTGTTATCGCCATCATTTTGTATCTAAAAATTCATCCAGTGTGGAGTCACAATGTCGTTTATTTAATAAATTGAATTGACCAGCTGTAGCCATTATCTTAGTCTGTTTGTTGGTGTAGGGCAGACAGCTTTAACTTGATCTTTAGACCTTTTTCTTTGAAAGGATCTGCCTGTTTTGTCTGGGGAAAAGATAGAAGAAGCTTGGCAGACTTAAAAAAAACAAAAAAACACATTTAAATCAATGAGCTGTACATGCAGAATACATCAGTATGAGGCGAATGCTTTCACATAACATGTACTCATTTGATGAAAATGTTTAAAACAAGTTTATCGCTTTCCAGGAAATTCACAGGTATTCATGTTTTCATTAGTGTTTTTGAAATGCAAGAATCAAAGGAGCATCAGGGTCCTTTTCATGAGATCCACGAGAGGTCGATTATTAAGCTCGGTTTGATTTTCTATTAACGGAGTCTCAATGCTTTTTGACAGCCTCCCCTTACTTGTAAATTTTCAGAGTGCCATTTAATGCAGCAATTAGATAGTCCGCAAGCTAAAAACAATACTACAACCTAACGTTACTATGACAGAGATCAAAATAATAACACAATGGATTAAGAGAACAACAGTAATGCATAAAATTGCAGAGAGAACAAAAGCGGTCCAGCAGTTATAAATCAAACAGAAGCACTCAACAAATTTTGCTGATTGCTAAAACAATTGAATCCACAGTCCAACGTTCTTACACGCTGGAGTTGTTAACTGCTTAAAAATGTCAAATTTGGAGGAAACAAGCACCACCTTGGTCTTTCTCTGCTCCTCCTGTTACCTTGAGTGCCAGCCAAACATCTGCGTGACATCAGTGCCATTGGAAAGTGTCAGTGTCACCCAGCAGGTGTTCTGTGTGTGTGAGGGTGTTGTTTTAGGTTGTGCGTACAGTATCTACAGCGATGCATGCGAGCGAGGGGACCCGGGTGGTTGGTGAAAGGAGCATCTGTGTGTATTGAAAAGCGTTCTTTGAATAGCTCCATATTTGAACAGCCACTTACCCAGCGATAAGCTGTAAGTGATTCGTGGCAGCTTCCTGAAGCAGTCGCGAGAGAGAGACAGAGGGAGAGAAGTCAGAGAGAGGAATTAGTGTAGAACATCAATTGTAATTAGGGATACTTTCCTCCATTTGGAAGTGCATGTTTCTGTCTCAGAGAGAATTAGAACTAGATACTTTCTGCCAAAGCAACACCGCATGAATGATTTAAAGCGGCAAAGAATACTAGGAAGGAAATTATGAGGTAGTATGACATGCTACCTTTTAATTTCCTCCCTACGTTTTTTTTCTGTCAAAGTCACAACCATAGACTGTGTAACACATGGCCGTAGTCTAAGTGACGTCACCATTTGGTTTCTGAAGAGGTGTTCTGAAGCCCAACTTTATCGTTTGCAAATTAGAATCACTGACTCCGACTAACTTCATACGTTTTCCAGTCTGAACCGTGATATTTGAAATTCCTTGCCCCCCCGCCGCCCCCCAGGAGCAAGTGGAAATTATGCAGACAATGAAATACGGTGCCCATACATTAGTGAGCGGTCACCTTGTTTTTCATGCATCATGCAGGTGAAAGATTTTATCTGAAAGAAGTCCCCTATCCCCTTAAACAAAGATGGTGGCATACTGTATAAAGATACTGAGCAAAGGCACGGCAATCATTTGGGGCGATTTTTCTCACAGTTCCTGAGAAGGACAAAGGGTTGGAGCTCTGCCAGTTCCTGCAGGCTGTCGATCACAATCTTTTACCTTTACAACAGACCGCTGACAAACACATGGTCGTTTTTTTCATATTGCTGCCCCATGAATGTAATACTATGAGAGTGTGATGTAATGTGTTGCTTAACATGCATGAGCAAGTAGGTCCGTAGTTTGTTTAGTTTGCTCCTTCTCAGTCCTCTCTTTGTGCTGGCTGAGAGCAGCGATTTACAGTGTTCAATGGTGACCATCCAAATGTTCCTGACATTTGGGAAATTGTCCCTTTTGTTCAGCCATCTTCCCTTTTTTTTTTTTTTTTTTTTTTACCACCCTTTTCTTCAAAATGCCATTCGCCCTTTTCATTCCTCTTTCACCTTGTTGATCCTTCTTCCTCCTTTTTTTCTTCTTCCTCGCTCATCCAGTTTGATGTCCGACCACTTACAGGCTCCTGGTTGAAAGATTTCCTTTATTATTATTTTTTTTTGCCTTTTCAGTTCACATCTCTTGTCCATTTCTTGTGAAAAGTTGAAGTATAGCACTTGACTCTTGCTCAAATTCAAGAGCTCTCTCAGTGGAATTAAGTGCCAATGCACCGTTTCAAAGAGCATTTGGTCATTATGTTCTCAATCATTTCTCTCTCAGCCAGTGACTCGTATGGTTCCTAATGTTTTTTCCCTCTGTCTTGTTTTTTTGTAAGCAGTCAGGATTTTGGTCTTTTTTTCCATTCACACTTGCATGCGTCAATTAAACGACAATGCCGTTTTTTTTTTTTTTAGATTAATGAAGGTGGCAACATTTCCATCATTGTTAAAGCCTTTTTATAAGAAATGAACTACCAGCCTCAGTGCAGAGCAGGACTTCTGTAAGATTTCAATAACCTAAATAACTATTAAATATGGTTTCAAGGTACCTGATGGAGTTTTCCTCTTGACAAACCGTACTTGTAAATTAGACATGCTAGCTCGCTAGGGAGTTAAGCCACAGGAAAAGTTCCAGTTTCAGCCCGAAGCTGCGATAGTGAATGCCCTCCGCACAGATAGGATGTGAGCTTTAGCTGACTTTAAAGGGACTGACATGGATTCTCCATAGAGGATGACCTACACCGCTCAGCATGGAGGCAACCCTTCCCCTGCTCGTTAGGGTTGAACTATAAGACTGCTGGGCCACAAATCCGCTCCGGCCTCACCGCTTTACCCCCCAGAATCGATTCCCCCCACGGCCACATGACACAAGACACACACACACACCTCATACACCCAGAGCCAGTGAACCGAAGCTTATGTACAGAGGAGAAAGCTGTGCAGTGTCCAGGCAGGGTGTTAGTGGCTAATCATTAACCCAGACTCCCTGTTTGCTTTTCCTCTGTCTCTGCTGTACGTCTGGTCGCTTTTATACGCGTGTGTGTGTGTGTGTGTGTGTGTGTGTGTGTGTGTTGTCAACAGTGCCATGTGCCTTCGCTGAGCTTTATCAGACCATGCACTGTGTGTTAGAGACACACACACACACACACACACACACACACACAGATATAACATCTGCTCACGCCTGCAGTCGTGTATCAGGCAGAGTTACAGTTTGCTGCAGACTTCTTCCTCTCTCAGTTCACAGATGAGCGTAGAAGACAGATGTCTTATAGTAGAGTAGAAAAACGTCTAGCGCTCACATGCCTGATAATTAATCCACTAAGTTGTCTTTTATTCAACTGGTTGATATGATTGGACATATTTTTCAGGAATCTGTTGCAACAGTCTGTCACTTAAATAACCGAAAATTCCATATTGGAGAAAAGACTTTTACAAGGTTATATTTTCTGTTTTGTTGTCCAGATCTAATATCAATCATAAGATGTAACCAAGGTCTGTTTGTTGTGAATATCATCACCTACTTATGGCTGGAATCAGAAGCTGGCAGTGGGCCTGATTACTTCCGCGTGTCACGCCAATAAAGCGCCATTAAACATCCACACCTCAATCACCTCAGCTGCTGCCGGGCCTCACTGTGCCTCCATCCGGGTTGTCAAATGAGACCCGACTGCTTGGCAGATTTCTTGCTGCCGGTCCTCCTCTTTGCCTTCACATCTGCTGCCCCCCCCCCCCCCTTCCTTTCCCTCAGATATCAGAGAGACACATCTGGACAGGGTCTGAGAGTGGAGGGGAGGCCGGGCAGCTCCCGGAGGCGGGAGCATGAGCATACACTTTCTCTGGGAATGCCCTTGACCAGCTGGCAAAATGACAGCAAATATTCAATTTACATGCCTCATTGGAAGGTTTTCTGGAGTGCTTGTATTTATTCTAAGAAGAATTTAAGTGTCATTCTGGTGAAAGTATGTGGAAAAACACACCTAATAGTACCCTCCACCTGATATTTGTTTTCATGGAGCAGAAGATTCATGTGGGTGGGGAGAAATGTCGGAAAATAGTGAGCTGAGGGAAAGAGAGGAAGTGTGTGCACTTTGCCTGACATGTGAAGAGCGAGTGAGAGAGAGAGAGGAGAGAGAGAGAAGTCGGGGGAGGGGGCTGAGGTAGGTGGGCGGGGAGAGAGAAGAGGCGAGTGTCACGGATGGAGAGACGGAGCGAAAGAGAGAGAGAGAGAGGTGGAAGGAATAGCGTGCTGCTTGTTGCCGGAGCTGTTGTGCTCGAGTGTGTTATCGTGAGTGCTTCTTGAGCCGTCGTGTGAAAAAGAAAAGAAAAAGAGGACATTGCTTTTTGAGCCTTTTCTTTTCTTCTCTTCTTTTCTTCTTCAAGCGCAGAAACGAGCTCCCAGAACTTGTGTGAACATCCCCCCCCCCCCCCCCCTCCCCTGCTGCCTGGGACTGTAAAGAGGACCTGGGGAAGACAGTGTGCTGCCAGGTAAGAGAATCACACATAAAGAGGATTTATTTTTTTTTTAAATGTGGAAGATCTTAAAGAGCTCTCTTTCTCTGCCGTGTGAGAAATACATCCTCTAAAGGAGAGAACATGCTGGATTTGGTGTGTGCACATGTGTCAGCAATAACGACAGGACAGTGTACTGTATTGTGATCGGAGGAGTCAGGTCGTGTAGAGAAAAAGAGGAACGATGTGAAGCAGGAGGACGCGTAGTGATTATCCAGGATGACAGATGTCAGGGAATGTCAAATTCAGAAAGAAGAGAAACTGGAGCGACTTGTGGAGCCTTCGTTCTGTCTCACTTTCTTGATTTCTTTTTCCCCCTCAACTTAAATTGGCATTCGATGCTCTAGAAAACAAACTTGACATTGTTGTAGTTTTTTTTTTTTAATGGGGAAGTTTCTGCAATGCACGTTTCATTCTTGTTCTCTAGCTGAAATGTTAGATGTGAGTGATCAGCAAAAAATGAAAAAAGCGGCCAAAAGCATTGAGCTTTGAGATCAATTTCCGAAACAGAAGATGAACATAAACTACCAAAAAGATTCCGAGAATACACCATACAGATGTTCTTGTCCGAGCTCTTGAAGCAAAGAAAGACACGTTTTCAGGATAAAAATCATCAGTCAAAACACACGAGGCTTTGGAGCATATGTTTCATTTGGCTGGATGTGGCTCCACAACAGGCAGGGATCTGCCACATTAGTGACAGTCAGGGTTCAGCAGACTCCTGTGGTGGCTTAGGCCAAGCTTCAGATCAGCATGGCAATAGTATAGATGGACGAGACAGTTATTCCCGCACACAAAAGAAGAATGACGTGTGATTTTGAGTAATTTGATCATCTCTTTCTTCTTCATTCAATAAGAGGTTCTTCTGCTATTGAATCTCTCCGCTGCTGTTTTGTCATTTCCCCTTTTTGACGTTCCTTATCTCTCCCCCCCCCTTCCTCTCTCTCGCCCTAATTACCCAGCATTCAGCTGAAACCAACTCCATCTCTCTTCCCTTCCATCCCCTTTTGTCCATTCATGCATGCTGACGTACAGTAGACTATTAAACAAAGACAGACTATAGGGCCAGGGGGCTGAACAAAGCCTCTCTGTTCTTAATAACATTTGCTCTTTTATTTATTTTCTTCTTCTCTCATTTAGAAACATGAAAGAGGTAAAGGTAGGTAGATTGTAGCGGCTTCAAATGGCCCCACCGTCTATTTGATTCCATTGTCTCATGCTGGAACAAGCCTTGAAAGCCGGCAGTCTTTTCAAGCACAGGACTAATTCAGATTTTCTCATTTTTGACTTCATTTTTCCATCACCTTCCAAAGCTTTTCTTCCACTACAAGGTCCAATAAATCCCTTTTCACGCACGCTGCTCTTTGGAGAAATGGATTTGTGCGTCCCATAGTGAACACTCTGCTCACCTTTTGTATTCACGCCATTGTTAGTTTTGGATTTATGTGTCTAATCTGCAGGCGTTTTATGGAAACTATCTAAATGATTTATTCCCTGGGAGCACAATTGAAAATCCTTTTCTTGAGAAATGTTGGCTTATATTCCGACAACAGTTCTGCATGCGCGTGAATCCACGCTGTGTGCTGTGTATCCAGCTGTGAGATCTCCCATAACATCAATAGTTAATGAGTGTCTCCAGCTCTCATTCATACATCCCATTCACACGGGGTTTTTGTTCATCCACCAGCTGTGAGACACTTACTGTTCCACACCATTATGAAGCTTGAACACAGCTCAGCTTGAGTTTGATGAAGATCTTGGCTGACCTTCACACAACCTTGCAATGTCACAGTGCATGTTTAGGTAGTGGGAGTAATTCATTATCTCCTAAATCGTAAGCAAAGGGATACAGAGTGATAGAGGATGGGAATATTATACTTTCTTGGGTTAGAATCTGTTACATTTCTACCCTAAAAGAGACGTTTTTTTTTTATACATGCCTTTCCTGTGTGTTGGTGTGAGCAACAGTTCTGACCCATTCCCTCCATCCACGGCCCCTCCAGCTTTTCCTGCCTAGAGCGCCAGGCGGCAGCTCCTTTCGGTCCACTGGACGCAGCCCTGCTCTCCCTCTGTGACTCATTGCCTTGTCCACTCTTGTTGGCCGGCTTTTCTACTCCAGGGAAAGACAGGATGTGAAGGGAAAAAAAGGAGAGACAGAGAGAGGTCAGCCCCACATGAGCAGGGATCAGTCGTTCAGGATGAACATTTACAATGTGTTTGTGTGAAGAAAAAAGAAATGAAAAAAAAAACAAAACACAGGCATTGGTTTTTTAAAACAAAAAGAAACAACAAGAAGGGCTTTTGGTCGCTGAAAAACTGCACACGCGCAATGAGAAATTCAAACAATTCAGCAAAATAACTGAGATCAGGCTTCTTCAGAGAGGTAATGTTCCTCCTCCTATCTAGCCCCAACTGCAGTCATGTTTTGTATCCAAGGGATGTATTCATGCCTGAAGCCCCTCCGTCGATTTGTAGATGACACTGTCATGTGACAGCAAGCAGGGTGTGGAGTCCTGCCTGCCTGCCTGCTGAGACTTGGGCTTGTTTGCCTCTTTCAGACAGATCAGGCAGATATCAAGTCCAAGCTGCTCCACCCTGCTACCCAGCCAGAAAAAAAAAACACATTTTTTTGTTCTCCCTTTATGCTAAGGCCATGCAGCACTGATCCAGAACCATGGACAGCGCTCCTGGACTGAAGGCGCGCGAACAGAGGAGGGTTTAAAAAAAAAAAAAAAATCAGCACCACCTCATGTGGACAGCTCCTTCAGCACATGTAGTCAAGCATCCTACAGAAACAGAGTCTCTCGGATTGATGGCAAGAATAATGAAATGCTCAGATAGTCAGAGAGCAGCATGATACATATTATTGCTTGTAAAGATTATTCATAAGACGATCAGACGATTTAATACAATGTGAGAAGTGACAGATTTTACATTAAGGTTTCAGACGGCGCTCTTGCTGAGGAGCAGGAACAGCAGTGTTTGAATATTTACCAGCTTTAATCTGCTCCTGTTTGCTAACCAACACTGGCTGTCAGTTGAGTCCAGGGCCAGCTGTGTTCGGTACTTAACCAGGTAGCCTGGGTAAATAATCACAGTTTCCAAATATGCAAAGCTCACAAACAGGGAGTGAGCGTCTTTGCAACTGTGCGTGTAGATCACTGAAGCATTAAATCTTTGTTGGCTCGCATTCAGGGCTGCTCAGGATTCACTTTACTAAAGCTTAGTTTGTTATCGACCAATCAAATGTATTCAGACAGAAGCTGTAAAGCTAATTAAAGGGTTTGACAAGCAACTGAAGAAACAGGTTGGTGTTTTATAATGATTTACAGACGAATGAACACAAAAGCAACCCAAAAAAACCCCCATAAAGATAGATAAGCAACAAAAATCTACAAAAAAAACGCTACTTTTAAGAGAATGGATATCGATGCAGAAGAGTCATTGAACAACGGTCAAGGAGCCGACAAATATGGTGTCATAGAGCATCATATCTGAAATTAGTTTTTCCCAATAAAACAGAGAGGAAGCTCATCGATTGGTCTTCAAAAGCAGAAGCTTCCAAGATATTGACAGGAGAATGTGTGAGCATGCGACTGAAAAACAGAGCTCAGATACGCAGCCCCTAGGCTCAGACTTCAGAGAGGCTACTGCGATCAATTTAAGGAAAAAGCACCCTTTGATCAAGTGGGCGAAGCTGACCTGTATTTTTTTTTTTGTATATAATCCCAACATCTGTCACTGTTTATTCCATAAACAAATATCACTGAAAACACAACTTTCTCCCAAAGAAGTGAAAAACATCCCTCAGGCTGTCCAAAGCCAACTCTAGAGTTAGAAGCTGTTCCTTGGCAACATTACACATCAGCGTATTGCATTGGCGACATGACCGCAAATTGTGACAGTAAGCCTCTATCTATGCACCTTCGCTCTGCCCTGTATCACAACCAAGGTGGCCCATCTCAACATGCTTCACATCACATTGTAAATCACTGTCATTAATCCACTGTGGCTGTAATAAACGTACGAGTCAGTTATGGCTTTGTCGATCCATTTTATTGATTGTAATGCACGGTTTTACTATGCATACGTGCAAAGCATTTAAAACCATACTCCATAACTAGATTCTTAGGTGCACTAAAGATATAATGACGTTCGTACAATATCAAGGTCTTTTTGTTCTGTAGCAGGTTGCAAAATGACTCAAGTCTCATGAATTAATGAGGCATATTTGACATCATCTTTGAAGGTGAGATATCAGACGTGAAAACGTGTGCCGTTAGATGAAGCCCTGACGGACTTCACAGGGAAGAGAGTCACTAAGAAGAGCTGGAAAGATGCGAGCGTCTACTGTCCATGCAATTCTACTTAGCAGGTCCACAGGAATATGCACTCATGGACTCAGCATGACATCGATTTTGTGCCTTGCTGCACGTCCTCCAAGCATAGCCCCCCCACCACCCCCAATCTCCAACCAACACACCCGACAGAAACAATAAAAGCCGCTCAAGTCTCGCCCCGAGGCTTCTGTAGTCACCAGTGAACAGCAAACTACCCGTCACTCCTCTCTCTCTCTCTTTCTCTCTCTCTCTCTCTCCCTCCCTATCTATTCTCAAGCCCCTCACACATGTCCCCTAATTGAGCCAGCTAATAACCAACCCGGGTCATTTGTATATGTATGCATTAGCATAATTGAATAGGCATGAGTTAAGTGTTCTCCACTGGTGTGTTATTAACCAGAGAAGCAGACGATTCACGTGCGGCTGTGTTTGTTAGGCTGAATGGTGTCGTGAACAGGGAGGCGTCCGTGCCTTTAGTTCCCACCCTTTGCCTGGGACTTTCTTCTCTTCCTCCGCAGTGGTCAACGTCATTACACTTACTGTAGCTTACCTTAATTAGAGCTGTGACAAATTAATGATTTATGTCAAATGAATCACCAATTATCTTCTATAATCCATGAACCGTTCTTGCCATTT